TCTAGCGGTAAGATCAGCGGACATGGCTCTCAACCAAGAGGCAAAATCTCCTCAACCTACGTCTGCCTGGTCCTTTAACCTTTGATACCGGTACTCGATGACCTGTTGCTGCTGCTGCTGTTGTTGCTGCTGCTGCTGTTGTTGTTGTTGCGGTTGTTGTGGCTGTTGCTGCTCCGGCCCACTGGACGGAGGATAGTAGTGGTTGGATCCCGCTTGGAGCTCCAGACTTTGGGAGCGTCGGGGGAACCATGCTTCTCTGCTGGCGGTTGAAGAAGGCCGCCTGCTGTTCCTCCATATGTCGCTGCTGGTGCCGCATTTTTTGCTGTTGAAGGAATTGTATCTGCGCCTCGATCGTGTCAACGATGGCCTCGTTCGGGCTGGGGGGCGGCATCATGGTGGCGGGTACGCTCTGGTAGGAAGCCGCGCTTGTGATGGGTGGCATGTGGTGCTGCATGGCTGGGACAGCGGGCGACAGGAGAATTGGTGCGTCGGTGCCGCTCATGGGCATGTCAAGCTGCTCCCGGGGGTGCGATTGCAGCAACTGAGGGCCGCCCGAGGCCTGAAAGTCCTGGAAGTTGTAGTTCATGCCATCGCCCAGATTGCCCATGCCATTCATATCCAGATATTGTTGGAAATCATCCTCGGGCGCCTGGTGGACCGAATGATCGGCGACGGCCCAACTTGACGAGTCCATGATGGCCCTAGGGTCTATCTAGGGTTCGAAAAGTCGAATTCCTAGGGTATGCCACGCGGTTTTGGAAAGGACCAAGTTCAGGAAGGTCTGAACCCGTCAATTTTCTCTATCGCACGAGACAGATTGCGCGATCGGTCGTCCACGTAATTCGGCGGAAGTGCGTTCCTGCGGAGAGCCGGTCTCTTTCGTTCGTTCGGAACACGGGCCGGATGTCTCATCTGCGACCCGCTGCTGATTCGACGAATCGGCCGGGAAAAGCCGGTCTACCGAGTGCCGAGTGGGCGGGAATCGCTTGCAAAGAGCCGGAGGAAGGTGAGAGAACCGTCGAGGACGCCGTGAGGATACAAAGATAGCGAGAGAGCCTTGATGTGACTACACCTGCTGGTGTTTGGGCGGCCTTTCTCAGAGTCGAGACCCTGAGACGGGGGGAGTGGGCGGGTGGTGGGGGGACGACAGGTTGAAATGGAAAGAAGGCCCGTCTATGGCCAGCGCTCGGTTGTGCCCCACGGCCATGTGTGCTAATTGCGCTCCCTTCATGCCCCGCTCCGCCGCCCCGCAAACCCTTCCAGCTCCCAACAGCGGGAGGCTTCAGGTGGACTGGCTAGGCTTTCCAGGCCTCGGGGTTTTGACTCCAGTCTGTTCCAAGGTTACATCAACTGCCAAAACCAATGTGAGGCTCCGAACACCGGGAGAAAAGTTTGTCACTTCCATGGCCTAGGGGGTATCCTCTGCACGCGTAACGGACGAAAGTTCGGTGCACTACCCGGGGATGCCCAGGTGTGGAAGTGGAAGCGGGTGCATGGAGATGGATGGCCGGGAACATGCCCAAAGAGACAGCGATCCCGTCCTGAAATCCTACTACCTAAGGTGGCTTCCATGGAAGTCGGGGGCACCGAGTCATCAGGATATCTGGTGACACACTCGAGACACATGGTCATTTCACACCCAAGACGGAGGCTGATTCCAGGCAGTACCCGAGTTCCAATGACGTTCATGATCTTCCATGTTCAAATCTGCGCGACCTGAATTGTGGACGGGATGCGTGGGGAGTGGCACCCGGAAGGGTCTTGGCGGCTCGCACCAGAAATGTCCTGCAGGCGTCCCGAGCACAGGCCAAGGGGCCGTCCCGAAGAACCGGGATTTTTTCCATCTCTTCTCCGTTTCCTTGGCCCGCAAGTGTCTACTCGTGTATCAAAACATCAAACTTCGTGGGTGTCAAATCAAAAACCAAGAGCAATCCGACAAAAATGCTAGTTTCGTCACGGCTGTCCTGCATACAGGCCTGCGATGGAGTCGTACACTGCTGGGGGGGAGGGCGCTGTGCCGCAGCCGTTGGAGATGCAAGAGATGCAACGGATGCGAGATGGGCGGGCCTGTCTGCAGCTGCTCGGCTGCGCATGTGACCCACTTGCCTCTGGTGGCTTCATTGACAGATCAAAACCCCACGGAAGGTGGGGGGCAGTTTTAGGCGCAAGTGAGAGTTTTCCTCCAGCCTATACGGTGCCTGCCTTGCTTGACGGCACCTTCAAAGCTCGAACCACTCACGGTTGACCGAAGACAGAGAGAGCTAACCAAAAATATCCATTACGCCGATCTGGCAGCTGACTGGTGAGATCGACTCGAGACCGACAAGACTATTCAGGGTGGAACACCCCGTAATTATCACGAGACATATCCCGCTCTCTGGCACCGAGAACTAGAATGGATTTGTGTGCATAACGCTCGTTTTGGGAAGCTTAACTATGTGGCGAGGCGGCCGTCTCACTTTGTTGACCGACGGGGCGCCCTGAGGCGCCTTCTCAGCGAGAAGACGGACCTGACCCCCAGTGACTACGAGGCGCAACCATGACGGCGGGATGGGGGGGTGGCTTGTGATCCTTCCAGCCCTCGGTCGACGATTTTTTGCGGATGGCGTTGCATGATAACCGCGTGGCAAACTTGGGGGAAAGCAGCTGGAAGTCTTGCACATCTTCCATCCCGGCTTCTGCCGGACCTCGCCCGAGTTGCCTTGGTTGTCGCGTTTGACCGGCAATGCGACACGGCTGAAACCCGCCTAAACTATTTGCTGTACGATGTTACCCGGTTCCGCAATAGAGCAAGGGAGACGCTGGTTCGTTGAGTCTGCAAGCTAATTATTCGTATTGACTTCCCCTATTGGCAGGACCGGTAGCTTCGTCCTCTCACGCAACACTTCCTCACCTCAGGCCAAAACAGGAGATTCGTTAATAGCCAATAAACTAGGTATTTACTGCTTATTCACAACAAATATGTAGTAAACAGTTGAGTTCCTAGATACAATTGCACGGTTGGGAATTTCCAACCACACCACAAATCGTCCACAGTACAGGCCCCGGGCCTAGCTAGGTTGTTCATAGCGTGCGCTCGGCAGCAGTTGCTTCTTCTCCCCTTCTCTCAAGGTCCCTCTCACCACAGCGAGATAATTATCCAGTGCCGATCAATAGAAAACAGACAAAAAAAGAAAACAGATATGTACGGTAGTGCACAATATATTGCCGAGGAAGCCAACAGCAAGCATATGCGCTGGTACCAGATTTGTCGAAACAAAAAAGAAAATCTGGTGAGACAAGGGTGAAAAAAAAGGGAGGTTTTTATGACCGACCCCGGGCCGCTAGTTGGAAATGCTAGTAATGGATAGCAAACAGAAAGGTGCGCCACAATGTACAGGATATAGTACCAGATAGCAAGAGAGAAACGAAAATATGGTATATGAACCGGCCCTGAAATGGCAAGAGAAAAATCAAATAAAACAGATCGGGAGGTTCCCGGGGTTTGTTGAGTGTGCCTCGAGGGACGCCGACGATGGTGGTTGTAGTTGTAGTGAGCGGGAGTCTAACGTTGATGAACGCCGGGTTCGGATATGCAAGGAGATAGCACGCTGAAAGACGGTACTTCAGAGGAACGTGGCCTTCATGGGGCATAACGCGATCAAGGAGGCCGTGGCAGTCGCGCACCGCAGGGGTATTATCGCAGAAGGCGACATCCCCGAGAGGGTAGGGAGGGGAAGAGTCGAAGGCAAACATGGCGGATCGGTGGTGTTTTAGTTGCCACCTAGGTTAAGCCAGCTCATGTCGTCGCGCACGGGGGGTTGGTTCCGGCGCGGCGGGCCCTGCGACGGGGGCTTTAGACCCTGGGAAGCAGGCGCGAGGGGCGTCGAGTAGACGCCGGTAGACGAGTCGTTCAGCGACCGGTCCGCTCCCCAAGGCTTGCCGGCGGCCGCCGCGTCCCAGGCGTCTTGCACAGACTCGGGGATGCCGCTCGAGTACGCCGAGGCCGACATGTCGCTCACCGCGCTGACCGGACGCTGTGTCTCGATTCGGCCGCTCATGCCCTGGTTCAGCTTATCGTTGTACACGGCGATGGTCGGGCTGTGAGCATTGACACGGCTGAAGGACATCCGAGGTTCCGCAGAGGCGGGGAATAGAGGCGGCACCGTCGCGCTGTCTTGGGTCATGCGGTGCGGGTTGCTGTAGTTTGAACTACGGTCGGAGGCAAGGGTGGTCCGCCGTGAGTTGTGAGCGGCGACATTGTTAGGATTAATGTTGTTGCTGTTGCTATTGTTGTTGCCGTTGCCGAACCCCAAAAGGTTCAGCGCCGAGCCACCAGACCAGTACCTGTTCCACCCGGAGCTGCGCCTCGTGTCCCCTTGCTTATCAGCCCCTGCCGTCAAGGTTCGTGGCTTCGCATCAACCGTGCGGGTTGCGAACGCGACACCCTTCTCGTCCCGGGTCTGCTGGGATGGCGGTGGCGGCCGAGCAGCTGCGGGGGGCGGAGTAGGCTGTGCCATCGGCTTGCTAATGGTGCTCTTGAAGGCTTTGAAGGTGCTGTCGGATGAATCACGCCTGCTCTCATTGCTCGACTTCCGACCGAGCCCAGTCGCAGCCGACTTCTCGCCCGCGCGAGCCCATGAGGATCGCCATCGATGAGAAGGAGCTCTGGGAGCCTTGTTGCTGGTGGCCGCGGAAGACGCCCGGCGGACCCTGGCCAAAAGCAAGGCTCTCTTTGGCGAACCCGATACTGTCCTTCTCGCTCGGTACCCGCCCGCTTGCCCGAGCTCACGTGGCCGGACTCTACATGACCCTGCCTCTTCCGCCGCCTGATGCAGACATACGCGAGGACCAGGAGAATCGCGGCACCAAAGATACTCCCTAGGACTGCACCAAGGATGGTGTTTAATTGTGGATCGGAGCCATCCGTAACTGCCGCTGCCGCGGCTTCTGTCGGTGTTTGGGTGGCGACCGTTGGGTTCGTCGCGCTAACTGTGAGGGAGGTAGTGGAGGGTAAGGATGTTGATGTCGAACTTAGCCTTGTTGATGTGGCTGTCCCATGAGGACGTTGAGGAAGAGAGCGTGGAGGAAGATTCAGTCGAAAGAAGACGAACCTGGGGAGAGCTTGGACTCAGCATCCCTCCCAACTGTTGTCTCTGGCATCGAACATGCATAGAACATCGTCGGCGGACGGTTCCCGCCAGCAATGACGACCAATGCCGTCGGAGCCCTGAGCAGAGAGCAAAAGTTGCTCCGAGTGACTTTAGGGGCCGAAGTCGAGTTGTATGCCGGCCAGTTGTTTATCGTCAAGGGCTCACCGGCCCTCTTCTCCTTACCGCTCAGCCCATGCTCACTCCTTCTCGACGCCCGCCTGCGAACCGGCGCAGCTTTCTGAACCGGTACACCGGGGCCCTTGAATAGAACCGTTCGTTTGACCATGTTTGGTGACTCGGACATGTCGAAAGTGAGAAGGTTCTTGGACCCATCATCGCCCGTCATCAACACCGCCTGGATGGCGGATGTATCCTTCGGTAGTGGCGCGGCAAGGGATGCTCCCGAGTCGACCCATTTCTTATCAGCCGCATTGAATAGCATAACCTGTGCGTTCCACGTACTCCCGCCGATCAAGGCCGCCTCGCTGGGAGACCAGGACAGCAGAATTGGGTTGACTGACGGTGGCCCGCTCGTGTCATATGAACGGACTTCGTGTGGCGCCGAGGCGCCAATCGTAAATGTCGATGTTGAGGGCCCGTTGGACCCGTCCTGGTTGCCGGCGTAGACGAGGATCGAGTCGGTGCTGTTCAGGTAAACGGCACTGTGTCCTACCCGCTGGTGTGTCACCTTATCCAGCAGCTTTACCGACTCCCATTGCCCCGTCTCGTACGTAAATTTCTGCAGCCCCTGGTACTCATCCGTCCCGCCAACACCCCCGACAACGAAGAAAGCCGACGTCGACGCTGTCCCTGTTGTTGAACCGACGCAAGCAGCCCCCTTCACCTTCTCACCCTGGGGCAGCACCTTCCATTTCGCCCCCGGTACAAGCCGCAATGACTGGAAGGCATCGGCCGAGTATGTGTAAAGTGTGTTGTTGAATATGACCGAACACGCGTTATTCAACGGCGTTTTTGGTTTAGGGAGCGGCATCGTGGCGGAATTTCGGCCTGTGCCGGCGACACAACCGACCTAGGCAATCGGTGCCTCCAATGGAGAGGGGGGGAACCTCAATGATGGTCCTCGTCAGCAAGACATGTCGGGGTTGCGTGTCCGGGGCAGAGTGTCGTGCGTTCGTATTGCGCCGTCAACGGCCGGCAAGTAGCAAGAACTTCGAATGCCAAAGAAGCGGACCAATATTCCCAGGAGACCCAGAGGAAGAATATCTCGCGTCAATCGAATGAGCAGGAAAAAAACGGCCAAACGTCGATCTGGAAGTTCGAGGACCGGCCTGTTGGAGGGAGAAGATGATCGACGGAACAAAACTCTGGGTTGTTTCCGAGGAACAAACGGCGAGGAAACGAAGGTTTTCCTGAGGAGCCCCCGTGTCGCAGGATGGAGAGGGGGTTACGTGGAATTGGGGCCTTTGCCGCGAAAGGGTCGATGGAACGCACACGATGCTACTGCGAGCCCCTGGCGCTGATGGTCCACGCTCGTGTCGAGCCCGGGGGTAAAGCAAACGGCTTTCCTGCGGTTGCGAAGGAGAGAAGCAGACAAGACAACGTTCAAGAAGGCCTGTGGCAAACTGCAAAACTGTGCCGGACGAGTTTCGGTTTGCCGACCGAGAAGTCAATTGCTAACTTTCATGAAGCTGAGCATTGCGACCTGAACAAGACACCACCACACCAAGGGAGACGAGAGGGACACGCATGGCAGCGAGCCACCGAGACATCGGACGGGGTAGGCGGCAAGGGGAGGCACGGGAAATGAGCCAAAAACGGGGCCTCGGAACAGGGGGAGGGAACCGGGGGCCTGGTCGAATCAGGGGAGGAGACGGGTCAGACAGGGGGGTCCTCGGGCCCTCATTTGAAGCTCGTCATGCGAGGAACTCCCCAGCCCCAGCCAGCTGCGGTGCCAGATGGGGTGCCGCCGAGGGAGGGAGAACATGCCATTTGGCGAACTGGTTGATCTTGAGGGGTGAAAAGGGGCGCTGGTGGGAGAACGCGAATCCGAATCAACAACCAGCCTCGGCAGACTGGGCCATGGGCTCGCTGGGGCCCGTTTGTTTCCTTGCTTGTTGAAGAGATGAGATTCGGCTGCCCAACCGGAGAGGAGCCAGACATCGCAAGGGCAGAGAAAAAGAAAGAAAAATAAAAGAAAACGAAGAGAAAAATGAGAGCCCTGACTAGGTACCTAGTTAGTTGCTCGTTGGTCAACCCAGTGAGTTAGTGTACCGTAGTCGTCTGGATACCCATCTCTCATTGACAGATTCGGAGGCCCAAAATCAACTTCCATCCCCGAAATCAGCTCTCATCCAGCGGTGGAACTCGACGATAATCTGAACTCAGATGAAAAAGTCAGCTGGTGGTGATACAACACTGCCACTCCCAACGGTGTGTCGCTCCGAACCCCCAAGCAGTGGATTCGCCCTTGTCGAATGAGGGCCCTGTCCTTTCCTTTTCCTGAAACGCTCGAACCCCAGACAGGAAACCGAGCCTAACCAAGAACGGAGAAAGCGTCTGCACCTCCACCCGAATGGCGGGGCAAGGATGCTCTCCACTTCCCGCCCATGTCTCTGCACCACGAGGAATTGGCGAGCTCGAAAGTTCGCATGCGAACATGCAATTTTACCCGAAGTGGGCCCCCAAAGGAGCGATGATGTCAGTCTTCAAAAACCACACACCCAAAGTCCCGCGCGGCTCTGCGGACGCTGTCATGCTCACTGCTGCCGGTGATTGGCCATAATAGGATTTCAACATCACAGTCACATGGCTTGGGAACCACGAATCAATAAAAGGGTGCGGGCGCGTAGTGAATGCGACGAATTTTCACCCAACCGCACGCTCTTTCGCTAATTCACTTCGCTCGTGACCAGATGAGAACTCGACCTGCCATGTCCGATCGACGGAGTGTGTCTGTTTGAAATACAAACCTGGTGGATGATATGTTATGCAAACCGCCACTATTTACTGGGATCCTTCCCCTTTCATCTCGTGACAAACTCGAGGTGCCTGTTGGAGGCGGCCAGGGGTTAAAATGGGCGGAAGGTCATGGCGAAGAGGAGGTTCATCGAAGACTCTGGATTTCCCCTGCCCGAGTTACCTTCACAGCTGGAAGTGTGATTGAATGGAGTTGTAACCAATCTGTATAACCACCTAACTGCCTAACGACAACAAGGTTGTCATACCGATTTGTGACACCAATGTTGCTTGTTACCAACCGCAGCATCGTACCACTTCTACCCGTCAGCCTCAAGCCCCCTCGCAAACTACTTCAAGATACCCATTCACACTTCAGTTCCCAAAACGGGTGATCTGAGACGCTGTAAAGTATTGAATCTGGGTATCACGTTGAATGGGATGTGTCACAGTCCGTCTAAGTATAATCCGTTCCAATGCCCCCAAACGCCAGAAAAAGAAATACAAAAGCGGACATTTTCCAACCCGCCCGCCCCAAACCAAACCATAACCAAAAAAAGCAGAACGGTTCGTTCCATTTAGAACCTCAACGCCTTAAAGCCCAACTTCAAGTCTTCCGGCCGCAGCCAAAAGTTAAAAGGAAAAAGAGAAGACGTAAAGAAAAGCCTTTTCAATGCCGAGGAATAAGCCAGAGAGACAATACGCAACGCTTTCCATCCTTATCACAGCCGCTGTCAAGGAACAAGGTTAAAACCAATCGCTTCCGATTCTTATGATCCGTTGTTCCCATCTCGATTTCGCTAATACATCGTGAACGCGCTTCTATCCTAGAGCACCGAGTTAGTCACCAGCAACCAATATAGACAGAAAAAAGACACTTACCTTCATATCCCCACATCCATATCCATCCCGCTCCGCAAACTATGCAGTGGGTACAAAAGCCTCCGGCGGCAATTCGCCTCTCTTCTCATGAAACGACTTCAACGCGAGGTCGAAGTTCCAGTCCGCTAATCCCGCCAAGCATAGCCCGAGAGTACTCGGGAGTCATGCCCGGTTTGTCGGCACAGTTCTTCTACCAATCTGAGCACGCATGGCATCATCCAGCACGGGAAGGTGGCGCTGCAACGGCCGTTGTCGGGGCAGGCGTCACGGTCGGAGCCTGAACGGCGGCGGTCGGTGTTTGCTGTTGCGGTACCCAGGTTTGCAGTGCGAGCTCGTCGCTAATGACCCGGTAGGGGTGCGGAGCACCAGACTTGCTCGGTCCGAGGATAAAAGAACGAGAAAACTGGCGGGTGCCAAGAAGCTGTCGGGTCGGGTCAATTTCTTCAAATCGACCGTGGACGGTGATCGCTAAGCCCATAGCTAAGCCTTGTCCAGACGGCTCAGCCAAGCCCGGAAAAGTATGGCAATCAACCTGCCACGCATCGACCAAATCCAGGCTGGGATGCCTTGTCGCAGGGAGCTGGGCCCAGAGTTCGGCGATCAGGTTGCTTCCCGTAAAGAGCCGCTGCTGGGTAGACGAGCCTCGGACGCCAATTGTTTCTAGATTCCTGGAGAAGTTGTCGTAGGTGTCTGGGACAGGCTCTGCGCCGGTCCTGAGGGAAAAGGCAGAGTCGTCATCGTAGAACTGCCTGGCCAGAGAAACGCGGTCCTGGTCATACGTGGTGAAGAAACCACGGATGAATGTGCTCGCTACGTTGTTACCCCCATCTCGCAGGTTGGATGGGAGACGGGGAAGCGGAGTAGGAAACCACGACTTGAAGGCCTCTGCAGCCTCTTCGGGAGTCCTGACCCGGCGCCCATCCAAGACCTGTAGGCTTGGGAACCATTCTACCATTTGGGTCGAGTAGTTTGGTAGACTAGCAAGGGGATTGCCAAGGGCATGCATCTCCTCCAAACGGCGAAATTCGTGACGCCACTTGGCGAGTTTTGACATATCCTCGAGCTTGTTGCCACTAAGATCGAGGCGGCGCAGATGAGGTAGGGTCTGGGCTAGGGTGAAAACCTCATAGACGTCGTGGATGTCGTTGTTGGCAATGGTAACCGCCTGGATGCCCGCTTCCTTCTCCACAGGATTGTCGTAACGCGTATTCGTAAGACTCATCAACACCTTGAAAGACTTCTCAGCTAACGCCTTAGATTGGAAAGCGCCCAGGCTGAAGAGGTTTTGATCGGCGCCCAGCGCTGATAGATCCAAGAGCTTCTGTTCTGCGTTGTAGCGAGAGCTCAGGACTGCCAGTAACTTTTCTCTTGTCTCGGACGGATTAGGCCCGGGTCCGTCGGTGGTTGATTGGGCGTTTTGCGGAGGAATCGGATCGTTGGTCTCTTCGATGGTTAACGAGGCGCCGGCATAGCTGAAACCGTTCAGACGCAACAAAAGGGGCGCGTCGGCTTGCTTGACCTTAAGCCACACACACTCGCCCCGAATCACTCCCTAGGTGGCAGCGTTAGGGTGCACGTTACCAAAAAAAAAAAAAAAAAAAAAAAAAAAAAAAAAAAAGGGAGGCAACGTACTCTACCGAGGACGACAGGACGCCCTTTAGAAGATTTCCGCTCGAGAAATTCGAGGAGCGAACGAAGGCCACCGTCCTGATTTCCGGACGCTTTACTGTCGTTGAGACCGTGAATCTTGAGAGTGACTTTGTTGCTGAACTGGGATTTATCACTGCGAGCGGTGCCATCTTCTGATGCGTGATTGCGTACGTTGCTGGCGAGCCGGGTTGACACCCGAGAGCCTCTCCCACCTCGGGAGCCTCGGTTTCCACGTGTGGAATGGGTGGAAGGGCCGGTTGGTTGGTTGGCCGCATTGACGCTATCCATAGAAACATCCCCATCCCGATCGGTTCGAGAGGGGCCCCGACGCTTTCCTATGCCGCCACCACCCCGTGAGCCCCGCTGGCTCGACCGATTGCCGCGGCTCGCTCGAGGGCCGGTAGGAGGAGCCATCGATTGTAATTGACCGAACTTGAACAGTTGTGAATGAGTGTGAGAAATTTAGGATTAGTGTTGGTGCGGTCGTAGTGGTGAGTGTGTAAATGTAGCAAGGGTTTGTTGGAAGAAGGAAGAAAGAGTGCGGGACGCGAGGTGCGAAAGAATGAAAGAGCAACTTCTCACAACAGGTACCTGGTGTGGAGCCACCCCACCATGTAACCTAAAGAGCTGCCCTGTCCCAGTCCCGAGCGTTGGGCTGTCTCCCAGCCTCGTTTCAGCCGTCTTGAGTCACCCTCAGCAAACCGTACAGACTGAGAAATGGGAAATGAACAGAAATTCATTAGGGTGCTATGCCCGAAAATGCAACGAAAACTTTGAATCATTTTTATTTTTATTTTTGAAGTCGCCATCGGACCAGAACTCTTCTAAACCCGACGATTGCAAAAATAAACCAGAGAGCCTTTGCATGTGCTTCATCAAAGAGAACTAAGATTCCCCCCACTTAGGTACTCTTTCATTGTTGAGGCACCGAATGTACTGGACTAGCTAAGTAGATGGCTTAAAATTACCAGGATACAATGAAACTCAGCTCGCCCGCAGGCAGCGACAAATCAGTGTACGAAGTAGTGGGTGCCCGTTGACTCGGGCAGCTCAAGCCAATCACGTGCATTGGCGTAATTGCGCGTCTCTTCCGTCGCGTCTTTTTACCTGGGGCTGAATTAACGGACTTGGACCTTCTGAAGAGGTGCATTTTCACGGCTTCTTAGGCGCCGAGCCACGCCACTCAAATTGCCATTTCAATCCCTTCACAACAAGGAAATACGACGAGGACTGGGCAGTTCAGGCCAGCCATTTTCTAATGACACGTGCCCTATATATTTTCTCTTTTTGGCCGTGACAGCCTAAAACGCAACCCTTGGGATCAGGGCGATGGACGACGATGAATTTGACGACGAGTTTGGCGACATCGCCGATGAGGACATGATATTGGCCCTCACTCAAGCTACCGACTCGGCTGCGGCCTCGTCGAATGAGCAGGCCAACCAACCACGCAGTTTTGGCAGTGGTCCCCGCCCCCCTCTTCCCAGGCCATCAACACAATTCTCCAACTCCGTCAAAGCCCCGCCTTTACAACCGCCCTCTCATCGGCAGCCCATAGCCCGAGCTCCAGGCTCATTCAGCAGGAATCCGGCTCCGGGAAATACCAGGCATGGGTCTCTGAATACCTCGCCTGCAAACGCCTTTGATACCTCACCCAAGAGACCCAACCCACCCAGACCGTCAGCCCAGACTCAAGCCCAAATCCAAGCCCAGAACTTGCGCCAGACTACCTTATGGGGAACAACAATCCAGGAAGATCGTGTGGCAGGATCGCAGGCGCCTAACAGTCGCCCATTCCGTGCCGATCTCCCGCCCGAAACCCCAACGCACCACGAGCTTCAGCATGACGAGTTGTCAACCTGGGTTTATCCCCTGAACCTCGGCGCCATTCGAGACTACCAATTCAGCATCGTGAAGAATGGTCTCTTTCACAACACGCTGGTGGCCCTCCCCACTGGCCTAGGCAAGACCTTTATTGCTGCTACCATCATGCTCAACTATTTCCGCTGGACCAAGCGCTCCAAAATCGTTTTCGTGGCACCCACGAAGCCCCTCGCATCTCAACAAGTCCAGGCCTGTCTCGGAATTGCCGGTATCCCTCGGTCACAGGCAACACTCCTCACGGGCGAGACCCCTCCAGTCCTGCGGCAGGGGGAGTGGGAGAGCAAACGGTTGTTCTTCATGACCCCACAGACCCTGATGAACGACTTGTCTAAAGGATATGCCGATCCCAAATCCATTGTTCTTCTTGTGGTCGACGAGGCTCACCGCGCAACTGGGGACTACGCCTACGTCAAGGTCGTCGAGTTCATTCGGCGCTTTTCCAAAAGCATCCGGATCCTTGCGCTGACTGCCACGCCCGGGTCAACGGTGGAGGGCGTGCAGGATATCATTGACAACCTTGGTATTTCCCACGTGGAAATCAGGACCGAGGAGTCGATCGACATTCGTCAATACGTACATTCACGAAACATTGACACGGTAACATTCGATCCCTCGGACGAGATGCACGAAGTGAGGGGCTTATTTTCCAAGGCTCTCAAGCCCCTGGTGGATAAGCTGAGCGCGCAAAACATATACTACGGCAGAGATCCCATGAACTTGACAACATTCGGGCTGCTCAAATCGAGGCAGGAATGGTTGGCCGGGCCTGGTGGACATGCAAACCAGGGTGTGAAATTCATGATGATGGCCGTCTTTAGCATCCTGCAGAGTCTGGCCCACTTGATCAAGCTGCTCAACTTTCACGGCATCAAGCCCTTCTACAACGGCCTGGCTGAGTTCCGGTCTAGCGAGGAGGGCAAACCAGGACAGGGCTCAAAACTCAAGCGGCAGCTCCTGGCCGACGAGAGCTTCCAGAGGATGATGGCCCTGATCGAACGTTGGATGAGAATGGAAGAGTTTAACGGGCACCCGAAGTTGACATACCTTTGTGAGACCCTCGTCAACCACTTTATCGACGCGGGCGAAAACTCCAACACAAGAGCCATTGTCTTTAGCGAGTACCGCGACAGTGCCGAAGAGATTGTTCGCCTTCTCAACAACCAGCCGCTTATCCGTGCCACCGTATTTGTGGGACAAGCGGATTCAAAGAGGAGCGAGGGCATGAAGCAAAAGCAGCAAATCGAGACCATCGAGAAGTTCAAGAACGGCGGTTTCAACGTCCTTGTGGCTACTTCGATTGGTGAGGAAGGTCTTGATATTGGCCAAGTCGACCTAATCGTTTGTTACGACGCTTCCGCCTCGCCGATCCGCATGTTGCAGCGGATGGGGCGCACAGGCAGGAAACGCGCAGGTAACATCGTGCTGCTGCTGATGAAAGGCAAGGAGGAGGAAAAGTTCCTGGAGGCGAAGGACAACTACCAGAAAATGCAGCAGCTCATCTGCAACGGCGACGGCTTCACCTTTCGTCACGACCTCTCCACAAGAATCGTGCCTCGAGATATCAGGCCCGAAGTTGACAAACGGCACGTCGACATTCCCATTGAGAACTCCCAAAATACTTCCCTTCCCGAGCCGAAAAAGACTGCGGCGGGTCTAAGGAAAAAGGTCGCCAAAAAGAAGTTCAATATGCCCGACGACGTAGAGACAGGCTTCGTGAATTTGAAAGCCTCGTTCTTCGGCCAGCCCGCCGAACGGGCTGCCAATATCCCCAAACCGCCCGCCGAAACCGACTTCTTAGTCGAAGTGCCTCCGCTAGAGAAGGTTCTGCTGAGCAAATCACAAACCGAACGCTTCGAGAGATTGTACAAAACACTCCCGAAGACACCGTTCGACAAAGTCCAAGAGCTCGGCTTCGATGACATCAACCTCGGAGCCCATCCAGCTTCTCAAAGAGTGCTGCGACGTACCGTCAGCCTCAAGCACGGCCAGTACACGAGAAAATGTGTGAAGTTGTTTAGGACTCTAGGGGAATCACAAGATCCCCTAGAAAGGTATACTCAGCCGTATGGCGAAATAGATACAATGTCGTGGAAACAGCTGCCAGTCCCGGCCATTCGCAGACGAGGCTCCGGGCAGCCCGCTAAACAAGGCCCAGGCTACAGCTCGGTATCAACAAACAGCGTGCAGGCAGCAAGTTGCCAGCGGCTCGAAAGACAGATAGCAAGCCTCACTAGAAAACGTATATCGGAATCGAATTACTTTAGCGAATGTGAGGAGGCGGAAGAAGACGAAGATGAAGCGGAAGAAACTGCAACCGAAGGGACGACACCACAAGGACGCGGTGGCCGTGGTCGGGGCGCAGCCAAAAGGGGCCGGGGAGGGTTCAAGCGGGCCCACGATCATATCGAAGACTTTGGGGACGATTGCACCCGAACGAGTGACATGGAAGAGACAGATGGCTCCGACAGCGGCGCCGACCTGGACGATTTCATCGTCGGAGACGACGTGTTTTCGTCCAGCAACTGGCAAGGGTCAAACGATCCTACGACGCCCAGCTCGTCGCGTCTCAGCCTGCGCCACCGGCGCACAGAACAGGTCACGGCCGAAGAGAAACCGTTCTACGAACCGCCCGAGTTCGGTTCGACCCAGGACTCGGACGACGAGATGCCCGACTTGGCCGAGCTCGTTGCTAAGAGCGCGAAGAAGCCGGCCGGGCCATCCAAGCCGAGAGTGGCCCCCCCGGCGGACGAGGATGGCGAGGATGATCTGCCCCAACTGTCCCCGCGCAGACCGCAAGCGAAGAGGAGGCGACAAGTGCTGTCTGACAGCGACGATGATGACACACCTTAGCAGTAGCGTTTGTTGCTGGCTCGGTCAACTTTGACGTAGGGCTACGGCGTTGTGGGTGCACGGATGGATAGATACTTGTGGTCAAGACGACGATACCCAACTATTGCTATTACGAGAGTCTGGTCTAGGTATGATGTTTTGATTGCTTTGTATACTACCACTAGTGGGAGTGAGTATTGGCCTAGATGATGTAACGTGCAGATGTGGTTTAGATACGTCAACAAAGTGATAGTTATCATGATTTGTACTAAAGGGCATTTATTCGTTTTCTGGGGTTAATTTCCTCTCGCCTCTGTTTCGGTGGAAGCCGACCGGAACAATTCCTATACTCAAGCCTCCTAGCAAGGAAATACACGATTTACTTACGTACTAGGCATCCCACAGACTTCCTCCTTCTTCTCCCCCCCTCCTCTCCGCGCCTCTCCGCCCTCCTCACCCTCATCCTCTCAATCCCCTTATCCAACACCGTCTCCACGGCATAATCCGTCTCCCAATCCAACCCAAACAACCTCCCCCCGCCCTCCCCCAAAAACTCCTCCACCACAAACCTCCACCACAACCTCCTCACAACCTCATCCTCGCCCAACCCCTCCACCCAAAAACTCACATCCTCCTCCTCCTCCACCCCCGTCCAGTCAACCACCTCATCCACCAGATCCGCCAGCGCGGGAGCCGACGCCCGGAACACCCGCCGCGCCTCCCCCCGGCTCAGCGGGTCGTGTAGACCGCCGCTACCCAGCAGGAAGAATGCGAGCAGCGAGCCGCCCGTAGGGGTCAGGGAGGGTGTGGCTGCGAGCTGGGCCCGGGCCCGGTCCGCGCTGTTGTAGTGCTCGACGACGGCGGCGAAGATGGTTTGGGCTTCGGGCGACGTGTAGTGGTATCGGCCGCCGGCGAGGTGCGCTAGGGAGTAGATGGGGTCGGGGTTGGGGCTGGGGCTGTTGTTGTCGGGGTTGTTGCTGTTGGGGTTGATGGGAGTTTGAGGTGGGCTTTGGGTTGGGGTTGAGATGGGTGATGGGAGTGGTGAAAGGGGTGGGAAGGGCGAGATGGGCACGGTTGAGACGCGCGGGCTCTGGATCTGAAGGGGTTTGCTGTGCTGGTTGCGGCTGCTGGTGCGGATGGGGATAGGAATAGGGCGGGAGCGGTGGTCGACTACGGTTGCGGCGGCTCGTCTTCCTTGGGTCGCGTACTCGAGAAGGGGGCTTGGCTTCTCCGGCTCGTACGGGTCTTGGGCAGGATCCTTGCCTCGGGGGGC